CGCCTCTGGAAGCGCTAATTGGGCCTTGGCTCTGGCCTTGCCCTTGCAGCTTTTCTGTGCCTGTTCCTTTGCTTTTCCAGGAGGTTCCTCCCATTCCGAAGCGCCTTTCCCAAACGGCTCCCAAAATCACCCAGGGAATCCCGTTGCCTTCCCTGGGGACGCGCGATGGGTCCCCGAGGGTTTCGGGAGCTTCTCCAGGTGCTTTTGGGGCCAGGGGTTTATCCACATGGAAATCCGCTGTTTTCCCTGGCTGTTTTTTTCGGCTGTCTTTGGGAATATTTAACTTTTTATTGCACCCTGCAACATGTAAGGAGCGACCCCATTACCCAGCACGGAAACGGGATGGGGACGGAACGATCCGAGCGCCCGGCCCCGGAGGCCGCTCGTGGATCCCATCCGGCCGATCCCTCCGTGCGGATCCATCACCCTGTTGAGGAGCAGCTTCTGTAGCTGGATTCCCCCTCCACTTCCCAGTTGGCTTCATTCCACACCTTGATTTTCCCCTGCACCGTCGGCACCGCGACTGGGACATCCAGGCGCCCGGGAACGATGCCGATAGTTGGGATTTAGGTGCGGGAGGGGTCGCGGGCTCCGGATATTCGTCCTCGCGGCGCGTTGCCGGGTCACGGGGCCGCACCGGACACGCGATTACCGGTGTTAGCCTGCTCCCATTAGGAGAGTTTAGCAGGGAGCTCGTCACGCGCCGGCGCGGAGCCGCCGGGCATCATCGGGAGCCGTTTGCTCCAGCGGAATCCGTGCGGACGGGAGCGAGGATGGAGGATGGATACCTGATCCCCTGAAACCAAAGGGTTAAAACCCTGCTGGGGGGAGCCTGGCGTTTGGCCAGATAAGTCCAGTTTTTCCTTGGGAAAACTTTTAATGTTCAACTAAAAGGGGGAGAAGGAGAAAAACGCTGCTCCGAGGATCTGATTTAACTCCTTCCTCCTTGCACCCCTCCGAGTATCCGGAGTGCTGAGGCCGGTAACACGGAATGCCGCATCCCGGAGCTTAGTGCTGTGAAGCCGCTCCTAAAACGGGCTCCCGACACGGTGGGAAGAGCCCTGCGGAGAGGACGGCTCCGCTCCCAAAGGAACCTTTTTGTCGGGATGGGCTTGTCCCCCGGCAGCCGCTCCGGAGCCGCATCCCGGGGCGCTCCCATCCTCCCTGCTTTTATCCCGTGTTTCCCGCACAGGTGGGCTAAGGTGGCTCCACGAGCTGGGGAGCTCCTGGGTGTCCTTATGGATGCAAAGGGCTGCTGGAAGTCAGTCTCCCAATTCCCGGTACCGGAGGCTTCGGAAGCCCGGGGCTGCCGGGGGCTCCGGGAGGGCCGGTGTTGGCCCGGTGCGTCCCATCCACCCAGGAACGAAGGTCTCGGCTGGACCCGTGGGCACGGACAGCTCCCGGGGATGCACCCGCATCCCCAGGGAGGGTGGGACAGGGCCTGAGCGCCGGGAGCATCCGGAGGGCCTGGAGCGGCGGCTCCGGACAAGGAGCTCTCGTGAGGTTCAGCCCGCGCCACCCGGAGCCGGGCGCTCCCTCGGCTCCCGTTCATCCCGGGGATCGGCCTCCGGGGAGGGATGGAACGGGAGCAGGAGCGCAAGGTCCCACCGGGCCTCTTCCCGGGCTCCTCCACTGGGAATTCCTGGGCCGGATACCGGCGGGGCGTGCGGGATGCCCAGCCCGTTTTGCGGTGGGGAGACGTTTTATTTAGCCCAGGGCCTCCGCTTCCCACCCGTTCTTCATCCGGAAGCTCTGCCTGGGCGGGAAGCAAACGGTGCTGGAGCAGGGAATTTATTCCAAGCTGCTTCCCTTCCTCACCCAGCGTTAAACCGGCACCTTCCCCTGGGCGGAGCGGGGAGCGTTCGGAGCGGGAAACGCGCGTCTCGGATAGGGAAGCGGGCTTGGAAAACCCTCTAGCAACAACAGGGGTTGGGGTCATCCCGGCTGCAGCCGATTCCATCCGCTCTGCGGCTCCCGGGCGCGTTCCCTAGCGGGGCCGGCTGCATCCGTCGCTCCGGAGCCGAAACGAATGTCTGACAAATCTGTTCCCAGCGACGTCCTGGCCCTGCCCATCTTCAAGCAGGAAGAATCGAGTTTGCCCCCCGAAAACGAGAACAAAATTCTGCCCTTCCAGTACGTGCTGTGCGCGGCCACGTCGCCCGCCGTGAAGCTGCACGACGAGACGCTCACGTATCTCAACCAAGGTGAGCCCGGCCCGGGGCCTTCCGCGAAACGCTCCGGGTTTTAGCCGTAAAATTCCGGCTGCATCCTCCTGCCTGCCCTCGGCATTACCGCGGTAACGCGGATTGCCCCGGGATTTAATTTAATGAAAATCTGTGTGGCACAAGGTGGGTTGTGCCGCTGGTTGACGTTGTGGCCCGCCGTGGCCACCGCTTTGGAGAACAGCACAGAAAAGTCCTAGTCTTGGCCACGCGTTAAATCGGGAAGGGAATTCCTAGAAATCCCCACTGCGGCTCACCGGAAAGGAGAGGGATTTTTCCTTCCCTGGAAGGGGTGTTGCAGCAGCGCCCGTTTTCTTGGCCCGTGTTCGTATCTCCAACGCGAGGAGATCAGGCAACGTCACAGCAAAGGAGGGACAGATCCATCCGTGACTTTGTCTTCCTTCCCTCAGGGCAATCGTACGAAATCCGCATGTTGGATAACAGGAAGATCGGGGAGTTGCCGGAGATAAATGGGAAGCTGGTGAAGGTGAGCGGAGGGACACGGGTCTGGCTGGGACCATCCCGCACGGAGCGTCCTCATCCCCGCTGCTCCCAGGGAAACGCAGCCCGGACCCTGCCGGGTTTCCCGGGAGCGGCTCCGGATGCTGACGGCTCGTTCCCTCCAGAGCATATTCCGGGTGGTTTTCCACGACCGGCGCCTGCAGTACACGGAGCACCAGCAGCTCGAGGGCTGGAGGTGGAACAGGCCTGGCGACAGGATACCGGAGCGTGGTGAGTCCCTGGGGCAGCGTCGTGGCCAGGGCTGTAGGGAGGGCAGGTGACATGTCCCCAATGAGCCCTTGGGCTCTTGGCATTAAAGGACAAAGTGCCACCAATGTCCTGCAGCTTGAGAGGGAAAGGGAGATTCCCTGCGGCTTCTCTCTATTCCCTGTGGATCTCTGTTCCTTCGCCTCCTCCTGCCCCTAAGTGCAGCTTCTCCACACACAGATATCCCAATGTCCGTGGGGATCATTGATCCAAGAGCGAATCCAACCCAGCTCAATACAGTGGAATTCCTGTGGGATCCAACAAAGAGGACCTCGGTGTTTATCCAGGTAAACAGAGGTGCGCGGAAGCGGCTCTTGCAGGGGTTTAGGACACACAAATAAAACTTTCCTAAGGATGAAAAAGTGCACACAAGAGCAGCTGTTCACCTATAAGTTGTTTTATTTGCGTGTTAGAGAAAAGACTTGGGCCAGCTTTTTTTCCAAGGGATTTTATTCCCTTCATAAAGCTTCCCTAGGTGCAGGGTGCTGCTTTTGAAGCTCCTGCTAGCACACGACTCCCACTGTTTTTCCATGATGTAGGTCTCGGTCCTGCTTAGCTGCTTTTGCAAATCTCCCCAGCTGCTGAAAATACCCCTTGGAAATGTGGCCCTTCCACCTCGAATAAACGGGCAGAAGGTGTTTGACGCAGCTGAACTCCCTTCCCTCCCATCCGGGGTCACTTGTAGCATTAAGAGGTTGCAAAACTTGTTGGAGGAATGTGGCTCCAGCGCTGATGTCCCCTTAACTCCTTCCTGCCGCGGCGCTCTCGGAGCGAGCGCGGTCCCGGCCGTCCCGAGGGCGCTGGGATGTTTCCGAGCCCCGCGGACGCGGCCCGGACGCCGCGTTGCCAGCGGGATGCTCTGGCTTCTCCCAGGTGCACTGCATCAGCACGGAGTTCACCATGCGGAAGCACGGAGGGGAGAAGGGGGTGCCCTTTCGCGTCCAGATCGACACCTTCAAGGAGAACGAGAACGGGGAGTACACGGAGCACCTGCACTCTGCCAGCTGCCAGATCAAGGTCTTCAAGGTATCCCGACCTGCCGCGCACGGATCCAGCCCTTCCCGCTGTGGGCAGCGCTCCGGGAGCCGGTCCCGGCTCCCTTGGAAGCCTCAGGGAACAGCGTGGATGCAGGACATGGCTTCCATCCTCCTCCTCTTGCGTTCCCCTCTCTGCCTGGCACTCTGGTTCCCTTGTGTCCCTCCAACCTGCATGTCCTTGTGGCCACAAAACCAGTGTGCCAAGACCAGCGTGCCAGGGAGGAAGGGGCTCACGCTGCCCCTCCGGGAAAGCTCCCAGCTTTAACCTCGAGCCCCATCACCTTGGGGACCCTCTAAGAGGTTTTGGTGTGGGACCAAGCTCCTCCTTTCACCATTCCCCAATTCCTGCTTCTCTCCAGCACATCTTGCGGTGACGTGTCGGCTGCGGGCGCCCAAAAGCTGCTGCCACGAGCCCAGGTGTCCCCCGCAGGGCAGCTCCACGGCATCGCCCCGGAGAGGCCGCGTTTCCCAATCCTCCCCGGAGCTCCTGGATGCCCTGAAGCTGCCGCGGGGCATTGGGCAACGCGCCCTGCTGATGTTGCCTGTTTTTTTTTTTTTTCCCCTGCTCCTTCTCTCTTCTGCTTTGCCTCTTGGATTATAAATTTTCCGAGGTGGGAGAGCGATTTGTCAGGGCCTGCTCGAGCGCTGCTGCCGAGCGCAGGATGAGGCCGCTTCCAAGCAAACACCGGGAAGAGCCGTGGGGTTTTAAGGCATCTGCCTCTCACTCTCCCGAGCTTCAGCTTTTTGTGCTGAGGAATGAATGGGAATTTGTTTATTTGCTGTGTTTTGGGGGTTTCTTTCTTCCCCTCGACGCTCCCGAGGATGCGCCCAGGGCCGAAGCGGTCGGTTGCAGTTAGCGGTTCCGAAGGAGTTTGAAAAGCAGCCGCTCTAGAACGGAGCCCTCCCGGCCTACCGGCCGCTTCCCGGGAACTGTCACCGACCGGACCCCTTGGGATCCCGCCTGTTGGCGTCACCTCCTGCCGCGGGGTTGTGAGAGCAGGTTGTGTCGGTGCCAACCCCCGCGCGCGGGTGCCGCCTGTTCCCCGCGCGGCGTCTGCGGGCGGTTGTTGTGTTTGGGCTCTGGCTTTTTCCTCTCTCCCCTCTGGGCACGTGTGTGTCTGATCCGGGATCTCCAGCTCCTTGTGGAGACGCTCCGACCTCGAGGGTGTTTTTTGGCGTTCTGGATAGATCAGGATGCCCTGTGCTCTGCCCATAGTTACTTCTCCAGGCGGCTCATCCCAGCTCCCTTCCTTTCTCCCTGTAAAGCAAGGCAGTGAGTGAAAAGAGAAGTCATCGTGTCTGGTCTCTGCATTGCAGTAAATGCCAACTTCCCGCTGCCTCCCTTGCACTGCCCAGCTCTGTCCTGACAGAAATATCCCCTTTCCAGCCCAAAGGAGCCGATCGGAAACAGAAGACGGACAGGGAGAAGATGGAGAAGCGAACGCCTCACGAGAAGGAGAAGTACCAGCCTTCCTACGAAACAACGATACTCACAGAGGTGGGGAGCGAATTTACACAGAAAAGGGGCCCTCGGGCTTCATCCTTTAACGAAGTCTGGCTTCGTTAGGGCACGAGAGGCGAGAAACTGCGTGCTGGGAGCTGCAGTGCTATGAGACGCTCAGCTAAGTTATAGCCAAGGGGCGAGTGCAGGGCAGATTTTTGCAGGCAGAGGAGGCGTTTCCTGCTAGATGGGCTCAAGTGCCTGGAAACTCGCTGATTTTTTCCCCTATCTGAACCAGATGATCTAATACTAGATTTTTATCTCAACCTGCAGACTTTGTTTTGCCAGTGCTGCCGTCGCTGGCTGAGTCAGAGGAAAAAAAAACCTGTTGTTGCCTCCCTTGGCTGGTAGAAAGTGTCAGCCTGTTAAAACAGGCTGGGTGCTAAACGCTGCTGACCGCCGGGCGAGGGAGCCCTTGTCCTACCCCACGCGAGTGCCCGGCCGCTTGGCACGGTGTCCCTGGCTCCTTTGGCTGCTCCTTGGGGCCAGAGAGGTGATTTGGACTCGGAATCACCCTGTGTTTGATTTTTGTGACTTCTGGCCTTTGGAGCTCGTTTAGCCTGAGGTTTGGGACCGCCTGCAATGAGTCCCCTTGACTTTGCGGTTCTGCTCCGTAGCAGGTTGTCACTCCAGGTCAACCCGAGACGCGTGGACTTGTCCGGAGCCTCCTGTGACTCTCCTGCCTTTTCCTTCCTAGTGCTCTCCCTGGCCGGAGATAACGTACGTGAACAACGCGCCGTCCCCCGGCTTCAACAGCTCCCACAGCAGCTTCTCCATCGGGGAAGGGTGAGTCTGGCGAGCGGGAGGCTGCGGCGCCCGGGATCGACGGGACGCGGTGACCGGCCAGGCACGGCGCCGGGGAGGGCAGAGCGGCGCTAACCCGGAGTCCGGCTCCTTCCCTGCGTCTAGGAATGGCTCCCCAAACCATCAACCTGAGCCGCCCCCTCCGATCGTGGACGTAAGTCACGCTTCCCACGTTGGCTTTGCGGCCAGGGCGGGATGGGGACGTGGGGACCGCGCGGTGGCGGGTCCATCCGGGGCTTGCTGGCCGGTGGCTGCTCGCAGGGCTCGGATGTGTGACGGGTTTTGTCACATCCTGAGCCCGGTGGCCGCCCTCCTTGGCCTCTTTCGCCGACTCCTGGCTGGGAAAAGCCATGACGGGGTGAGAAACCCACGATGCCGCCCTCCCTTACGGCATCGCTGGCGCTTCCCCTTCGCTGCCCTTTCTCTCCTATCCTGTAACTCCAAAACCCTCCAGGCTGCAGCTCTTCTGTGCGTCACCCTAGCACGCTGGGCCCTGGTTTTAAGCTGTGATTAAGAGCAGCTCCCTTGACCCTGCATGGAAACACGTTTGCCCCTCACCGACGTGGCGCTGACCTCCCCTCCCTGCCTTGCAGAACCTGCTGCCGACCAGCACGCCCCAAGAGGCCCAGCAGTGGCTGCACCGCAACCGCTTCTCCACCTTCTCCCGGCTCTTCACAAACTTCTCAGGTAGGTTTCGACACCCCCCTTCTCGCCCCTTGCTCCCGTAGATGTGGCAAATGCAAATGTTTTAAGATATAATTCTCTTGTAAATCAATAAAACTTGGCTACCTGAAAGCTGTGTTCTTCGTTTCTCACCTCGCTTTCGGGACTGTGAACGGTTTCTCTTCCAAAACTTGACAGCAGCCCCAGTTCTGAGGCAGGCTGCGAAGCGCTGCTGCGGTGCAGGCGGACGTGACAGCAGCAAGAAACGCTTCACAGATACTTCCCTCTTCTCCCCAGTGGTTCTGCCTCCATTTTCCAGGGTCACTGAGGCACTGGGTAGCAAACTGTAAAAAAAAAACCACCTGTAATGCGGGACACGCTTGTACCCGAACACGTTCTTGCAAAACCAGTCTGGAAAAACTCGTAAATGTCCCTTTGCGGGAAGGAGGGAGGTTGTTATTAAATGGGGTGGGCAGGGTGTGGGTGCAGTGAATCTGCGGGAGGACGGGGCGTCCTGGCCTCCCCTGCCCCGATAACTTTGGCCGTGTGATTCTCCTCCTGGTGTTCGATTCCCAGGTGCGGATTTACTGAAGCTGACCAGAGAAGATGTTATCCAGATCTGCGGCCCCGCGGATGGCATCAGGCTCTTCAACGCGCTGAAGGGACGGTACGTGCCCCGTTGAGACGCGGAAACCCAGGACCCCCACCCTGTGTTTCCTCTGTCTCCCGGGTTGCCTCTAAACCCATCTCCGTGGATTAGCGTTCCTGCAAAAGGAATATTCCTTTGCAGCTTTCCCTGGAGAAAAAGCTAGGCCTGGTGTTTAGCTCCTACTGTCTGCCTAAATTGGGGCATTTCAGAGGAATTGCTGCAGTGAGATGGGGAGGCTGAGCCCGTGGAGGGGGCCGTATCCCGGCGGGAGGCTGCCGGGAGGCCTCGGTGGAGGCTCCTGGTGCGGAGCCTGCGACACATTCCAGGGAGTTAACGCTCCGTTTGCGGCGGATCGGCCCCGCCATCCGCTCGCTGCCTTCCCTGGAGCGTTGGGAAGCGGCCTGGGGACCCGGGAATCCCGGAGCCCCTCGGCTCACCCGCTGCTCTGCCCTAGGATGGTGCGGCCCCGACTGACCATCTACGTGTGCCAGGAGTCGCAGCAGCTGCGGGAGCTGCAGCAGCAGAAACACGAGGACGGCGACGCCACCGGCAGCACTTTCTTCGGTAAGCAGGGCCGAAGCTGCCCTCTCTCCACCTCCTTGCTTGAACACACTTAATCCACAGACGGTTTGTGGCTTTTCCTTTCAAGCTGCTGCCCCTCACGGTGGCTGCTGCTGTTCTTGCTGCCTCCCTGCGAGGAGGCAGCAATTCCCGGGCCCTGTAGCAAGCGGAAGGGCTGCGGCTCCGTCCTTCCATACGGACAGTCTAAGGCTGCAGCGGGTGTTTTCGCTGCCCCCGTCCCATCCTGCTGGTTTTTCTCCTTGCCCGGAGAACGTCGCTGCTGGCGCTTTGCTGAGCTGACAGGCGACGGCTCCGGTGAGAATCCAGCCTTGCCCAGACGACAATGAGTGACCTACATTTGCGGAGCAGCCAGACGCTGCGGAGCGGCGAGCGCGAAAGCGAGCGGCTCGTCCTTTCCTTGCCCTCTTCCAGCTCGGATTCCTCCCATTTCCCTGCAGGAATACGCGTGTGGTGGGGGGAGGGCAACTCTGGGGAGGTGCCAGAGCAGCTTTTCCATCCTCCACGATTGGAAACCAGCAGG